ATTAAAAATAGCACCTTAGTTAAGTCCAGGACAGTAGGTTCCATTTTTACACATAATCAAATAATATAAATGTATTCTTCTACTGAGTCACACAAAGATTCAAAATGCAAGTGCTCAGCCTGCAACTCAGTAGGACCAGTCAAGTATACAGTTTTCTCCATCTGCCACCCTTCTCAGGCTTTGCACGGACAATCAAATAATAAGGGGGAGGAAGAGTCTCAAGAAGTGAGAGGAATGTCCAATCAATAGCCATACCCTTTCTAGACAAATATGTAGTGAATTACTGGTGTTCACACATACCTGGCTGCCATGCCTGGCTGACTGGGCTGGACACCACTGATTTAAAGCAAGTGTTCATCTTTTTAGGAATGTCTTATTTAAGTCTTTGGATCCTCCCAAATTATGTACCTGACTGATGTACTTTTTAAGATCCATTTAGTGAATAAATGAAAGTGAACCCCTCAAAATATTTAAATGTTATGAAAAAGTCATTTTGAATATAGATTTTTTCATCTTCGTGGTGAGTTGCTTCAGGGCCTATGAAACTGTTGGTATTAGAACCTGTATTGAAACAAAAACTGAAAAAACATAACTTTGGTTTAAATATGCACAAGCAGTCCATCACCAGTCTCACTCTAGGTGGCCCTGAAGAACAGCTAAGCAACTGGTAACTCCTCAACCTCAGAAACCTATTTTGCACAGGCACATACAAACTCATGTAAAGCATCAACCAACCTTGGTGCCTAAGCCAAAAAAGGGAATCTTCAAATCAGCTTCAGAAAACTTGAGATGAGGGCTGAAGGTCTTGGATTTTTCAACACAAATATATGGCCATTGTCTCAAGCATGTCCTCTCCTGAAGCCTGACGCTGGTCAAGACACAAGCAGGGCACCTGCATGCCACAGGAGCTGGGAAGCTCCATCTGAGTAGAGTCCTGACAGGTGGCAAGCTGTCACCAGCAGATAGAGTCACTCCATCACTCACCGCTCTAGACCCCACTGCCAGTCCAGGCACCCCTAGACCCCACAACCACCTCAGGGGACAACCTGAAACTGGAGCACAGCAAGACACCAATGTTGCAAGCCATGCATAGTCTGGAAACAAATGCAAACCTAGTCTGAAAGCACACTTCCCTCATTTTTTGGAGGAAGACTTTGGAAGGCCAGGTTTTCCCATCACAACCCTTTAAACACCTTTTTTATGTTGTAAAACACTCATCAGCTTGGTCACCTTCTGTCTGGAGAACCACATTCCTCAAACACTGTTTCTAGGCATTCACTGTTACAGCCAAAGACAAACTGCACTCTTCTTAAGAAGAGTGTTTTCTGTCCACTAACCTGAGATGCAGTAAATGCATGCAGATACATCTATTTTCTTTCTGAAGGCCCTGGTCTCCTTCCTGAAAAGCTGCAGATGAAGAAAGGAGCCCTGAGATGTTGTGCAGACACATGTGCAGGCACAGTCACAAACCCACACCCCTTCCAAAGCTGCATGGCTTCACAGAAGAGACATTGGATTGATCATCAACTTCCTCACCTAGCACTGTCCTGAAGCTATACACAAATGTTTTGGCAGTTCTACCATTCTTCTGGCTTCTCTGTGATTCGAGGGCATGATCTGGCTCTCAGATACAAAACCAAAAAAACCAACAAAGAAACCTCAACCAATATTTTTTAAAAGGTTTCCATATTGTAAGTCACAAAATTTACATTTCTGCTTACTCAAGTATACTTCACACCCTTTCCTGGTTGATAAAAAAGTGAAGCCCAAGAACAGATCTAGAACATCCAATGCTAAGCACACCTTTAACTCTTTTACAAGATGTCAGTCACTTAAAATAGAATTAAATACAAAATATATTAAAGTTTCTGTCACAATACACTTAATTCTTCTTCTTAAGCAAAAGAATGTGTAAGGAGTTACTGATACTACGTGAAACTTCTTCTGTATATTCAATATAGTTATTTGTTGAATCACTGACCATACGTATTCCTCAATGTCCAGCTGAACAGTTATTGTGTACTGAGAACAACTGACAAGCATCATCACAACATTAAAAGTAATTTAAATGCATTCAAGGCTGGTAATAAATGGGTCTGAATGAATTTCTGCACAAAGGCATAATGATTTTTAGCCAAGTTCCATCCTAATATTTTTACAGGTTTAGCACTCATACATTCCACTAACTGACTTTTTATGATGAATGATTTTTGCCACATATCAAGGAGTCCTCAGCACCCTTTCTCTTATATTTGCCCTGCTCTATACATAACATTATTTATTCCTTATTGAAGATGTTATTCTACAAAAATGAAAATGTTGACACAATTGAAAAGCACAACAGTTCGGCAAATACGTGTATCTCTGCAGTCTGTGCACACCTGACTGCATTAGGTTTTCGTGTTTTCAATTTTAGGTCATGAGAATACTGTAAGTACTGCAATAAAACCACAATCCTGTTTGTGTTCTTTCACAGAGAAGTGCCTTGAATCATAAATATTTCAATTACTCTGTTTTAGACTCTAAAAGACACTAGCCTCTGTTTTCTAGACAGTTCTCTTCCCTCTTTATCTTCAAAAGACCTCTCTCCCTCCTCTGTCACACTAAGAAGATTATACTTTTCTTCAGTAAGTAAAAATCAACTTTCAATGTAACAACTAACAAATAAAGACACACACTGGAATTAACAAGATCTAATATTTAAAAAATAGCAGCCTCAATTGGGGCCAGTGTAATCGGGTGTAACTCCTGTGCCTGTCAGAGTTGTGTCTGACACGTGTGTAACACTGACATGCAAAAAGTTCATTATTTCTTCCCACAGAAGAAGTGAAGGTGAAAATATTTATTTTCCATATTGGGTACCAGATGAAAATCACATTGCTCTTTCTTCTGAGAACCTGAGCCCCTATTTTCTGAGCAGCTGCCCACCTCCTGGCAGTGCTACCTGCACTTTTGCTGGCTCCCGGCCAGCCACATGTTTTCTCTGGCCTTTTTCCACAGCATTCCCCAATTCTCCATTGTTTGTGTGTTGTCCCTCTCCTTTGCAAAGCCTTGCGTGGCTTCCCACCACTAACCCTTAAAATTTCCTCTATATTATTTGTACATTGTAAAACTTGACAGTTTCTGATCTAATTTCCAAGTAGTTAAACGTCGGCTACAGGTTTTATTACACAGGTATTACCCACCACTTGTTTTACTGGGGGCGATACAATTCCAGGAGAACAATATGCCTCCTCAACATCAACAGTAAGACTTAAAAAGGAAAAAAATCAACAATGTAATTGTGATTAAGTCTTTTACAAGACTTAGCACCAACAGCATGGCAAAGTTTAAATGGTGTTTAGAGATTTCATCTCATTTAAATTTTCTTCACCATTCCTGAGAAAATTCAACATCAACATCTGATAGATACTTAAAGTATTACACTTGACATAGCTTGGCAACTCTGAGACTGTTTCTCGAAACACAAGTTCCTTAATTTTTCAGACTGAATTATCCGATCCGGTCCTACTGGACAAGCAATGTAATAAGCTAATACTGCACAGCCATTCTCCTTCCTTTTCTGAAAGGACAGATCCCAAAAATCAAGGTGGCTATATCCATCAAGATCAGACTGCTGTAACATACAGATACATCAAAAATTTAATAAGTCAAATTATGTATACATAGTTTCAAATTACATAAAATACTTAATTATTATTTCAATAATATGTAACATGTTGGTTTAGGTTGAATACAGAAACTGAATATGGAGTAAATCAGAATTTGGATTTACTTAGGAGAGAAATTCGGACCAAAGTTGCAAAATACACCTTATGTTGAGAAGGAAAAAAAAATTATTTTACCAAGATCATCAACTGAACTTCAATCTTAAAAGATATAGGATTTTGTTTGTAACAATATAACAATGTAAATACTTATTCAATGAAATAATGTGCTTAGAAAACCCCAACAACTTTCTAGTTATATATATCGATGTACCCTCCAGCCTCAAAACACCACTCTTCAAACGAATTTCTAGTTTTGGGCCCAATGATAAAGAGTATCTCCCATCAGGACAAGGTTCACACAGGCCCGCAGGAATCTCAGTCATCCTCACAACATCCTGGAGGCAAACTAGCTGAAACAAGACTGAGATCAGCACCTTACAGAAATACTTAATATGATGCAATTTGCAACTGTGGTCTGATGCACTGTGGAGATCCAAAGAACCAGTTCACTGAGCAAAGGACTTACAGTTTGTCCGTGTGGACCCTGCAACCACCAATGGGCTGGCAACTTCTCAAAACAGACACCCCATCACCCACTCTCAGCACCTGATGCCCATAGGAAGGAGGGAGAAGACTGAAGCTCCTTGGTAAACAAGCAAGCTCTAGAGGTAAGTCAAAAGCCAGCCTGTGAACCTCAAAGAGGGCTTGGGTTGTATGACGGAGATCTGTAGTCACTCCTTCCACCCCAGAATGGCCATCACGTAGCAGCAAGCAGGTGGAGGGATGGGCAGGGCAGAAAATCTCCCTTCTGCACTTTGAATGAAGGTGCTGCCTGTCCCTTAAAGCTGTCTGCTTGTTGTTCCTCAGCCTGATAAGTTAGAAAGTCATCAGTGCTACCTATAGCAAAGCCCTCTGCTACCCAGCTGAAGAGACACCCACACTCAGGGCACACAGAGGGTACAGTCCACTGTACCCAAGGGAATAGGCTCTGCCCTCAGCAGCCAGCCTGACTAACACATATAGTTAAATTAGAAACAAACTGCAGCAAAACCCTTTCCAGCTATAGATGTGTGATGACTATTTGCAGGGAAAAGGAATAACTAATTAACCAAACAAAAAGTTAAAACTACAATGTTCTTATTCCCTCTCCTCAACAAACTCTACAAATTATTAAAAAGTCTTAAGATAGTCAATAGCATAAGACAATGTGCTCAATATTTGAATTTTATTTTTCTTAGACTAGGAACCAAAATCCTGATATTAAATACAATTCCACACATAACTTACTCCTCAGAGTTCAAGTGCTACTTTCTAACACCATCCCAAACTACACTTTTGGTGAACCAATAAACATCATAGCAACTGTTCATTAAAGAGATTATTTTCAGCTACTTCAGTGATGACAGCACAGGCGAGCTATTGCTGGCACTTTCAAATCCAGCTTTCTGACATAAAACATCATCTTGCCCTTAAAACGCAAACCTATCAGAAATGGGATTAAAAAAAAAAAAAGCAGTAAAGCTGAAACAGATGCAAATCTTGCAACAAAGGATATATCCCTCTTATAATTTGTAGTAAACATTTTGAAAGATTTTTGCAAGTAGTAAGTTTGATTAAACTACTGAAAGCTTCAGAAAGGAGAAAAAAAGATCATCAGTGTTAAATAATATCTGTTGGACTGCTCCTTGTTTTCAGGCTGATCTAGAAGTTTTGAAATTTAAGTTTAAAGCTACCCCTGGTAATTATTACAATAACTGTGTTCATTCTGTGAAGGAACAAATGTGGAAGAAAACCTTTAAACAACTAACAATGAACTATACAACTGCAGTTTTAAGATTAACTTAAAGAGGTTAGTTTATTACAGCTAAGCTTTTCTATAATTTCATCTTTTTTATTCTGTTTTTCTGGTCCCACTATTTTACATATATGATCAAAAAAGATTTCAAGTCAAAACAGGGCAGGGAACAGGAATCTAAATGACAAATATTCCTTCTAACAAGGATTAGTTGAGAGGTATGCTACAGTGGCTGTGAAAAAAAAAATAGATAATTTGCATTACTTCTAGACTTACTAGCTGTCACAAAATTTAAAAAGAGTTATCAGTCCCAGTGTACAAAAAAATATTATTTTGTAACAAAGTTGATAGCATTTTTCAGTTTGATCATGATTTGCAGTTTTCTTCAGTCAAAATCATTCCGTGCGTACTTTTCAGTGACCTATGTCCTAAACCATTTTCAATTCCTATGAGCAAGTGACCTCTTCACGATCTCACTCACAAAGAAAAAACATGATGACTCCCATTAACCATTCATTTTCAACCACCATCAGAATTTAATTTCTCCAAAATAAACCTGGTAAATATAGAAATGGAACAAAAGAGTACTCAGTGTTCAAGAAATATTAATTAATCACTCTATTAGAGAGATAGATAAATACCAGCCCTCACATTTCAGTGATGAAAAACAAAGAGGTTAAGTGACATTTTCAATGACACATAGCAAAACACTGCCACAACATGGATCACATCTCAGAAGTTTTCTATTGTTTTCAGCCCACTAGCCTTGAATAACTCCTGTGCATGCAATGCTGAATCAGGTATATTCATCAGAATACAAAAAGCTTATTCTAGCTCACATAAATCAGTCAAAAAAAAATAATTCTTATACTACAGTATTTTTTTTAAATACATTCAAGTCCAATAAGAACTTCTCCAAAAAATATAATGGAGTCTGACAGGAATATTTCTAAGCAAATACACCTTTAATTTTAAAATATTGGTTCCAACAAGTTCTATTACAGAAAGCATTTAAAAAATGTATAAGCAACAGATGATTACTGAAAAAAAAGACCAACAAATAGTCACTTCAAAAACCTATGAAGCTATTCACCTGACTATTGTATAAACCCTATTGAAACTTTAATATAGTACCATGTATACACTGATTAAAATGTCCTGAACTTGATATACTTCTTTTACTCTTCCTCACATTAAAAAAACCTCTAATGTGGTTGTTCCCTATAGACTCTCTTTGGTCATTTTACAGGAATCTTCACTAAACAGAAAGCTACAAAACCTGTAGGCTTTTTCGTCTCTCAAATGTTATAAACACTGCACTGTAGCGAAGATCTTGTGACACAACAAACCGATCACTGCGGTTAAACTAAAAACAAAGAAATACACAAATATTTATACAATTGATTCTGCTTAACCGCCCTAGTAAGGTTACTTTTAAACCTTAAAGCCTACACCAACAAGGCCTCACATGAAGCAGTGTGTTTCATGTGTTACACATTAACAGAATAAATTAGTATGTCTAATTATATGACTTTTGTATGTCACTAAGTTACCTATCAATGGGCATGAAGGTTACTATATGTATTTTGGAAATGCTACATTTGAAACACTCTTTCCTTCCCCTCAACCGTTCTGAAATCTACTATTCTGAGTACCTAAGTGAATGATTTAAGTATACAAAAATGCTACAGAACACTACCACTTTGTAAGAAGCACAGCAAATTACTACAAAATAGGGGTCTTTTAAGTATTACATTTACATTACAAATTATTATAGTCAGGAAAAAAAACTTAGATTAAAAAAATACTGATTTGAACATATCTCAAAAGGATTTAGTGTAGCATTAGAGAAACCAATTTAATAATTAATCATATTTTCTTTAGAGTAATATTACTAGCAGTAGCGATCTTCCTTAATGGTTTTAAATTACTTAGCATGCAGAAGAAAAAATTTAAACCTGTCAAAATCTCTTAAAACTTTGTCTCTGACTTCTCTCCCACCCTCCTCCTGAAATTAACATGCCAATATAGACATCAGGCGCAACTTCCAAGTCCCACATTTGTAACAAAATTTCCAAGGGCCTGGCGCAAGCCCGTGGAGTCAATGGAGCGATTCCTACTGATGTCAATGGAAAGATTCCCACTCACTAGAATGAGTTTGGATAGGGGTTTTAATGCACGGAAAAGATCAGGGGAAATCCTCTTTGGAAGGGAAACTTCTGTGTTTCTTTCGGTAAGTAAGTACATACACAAGCAAAACTTCTTAAAAGTAGAAGTGGTTCCCTGGTAGAGGGTACTGTCTGTTTTTCCATCTGCAGCTCTGCACTCTTTACTAACAGAGGACAATACCATAAATTTGGAGTGGTTACTTCTGAGATTATTTTTCCAGGAGAATATATCAGCAGTCTGCTTTCTGTCTGGACTACTCCCACAAATCTTAGATGAATGTTTTCTTGCCTGCCCACAGCCGGGCTTTTCCCCTCTCCAGGAGCTCCATCCCGGGACCTTACCAGCGCTCGCAAGTGTTCTCGGCCGGAGGCTACGCTGGGACACAGGCCCGCTGCCCGCCGAACCTGGCATGAGCCGAACTGCGGGAAAGAGCAAGAGCGGCTCACCGGCTCTCTTTACCTTGGCCGTGCAGGCTTCGACGGGCGGCACAGGCTTCCCGGTAGACTACGGGAGGCCAAGAACGCTGCCGCCCGCGCACCCGGGCTCGAAGCGGCACAACGCGGACCAGAGGCGCCGGCGCTCGCCCTCCCTCGCGTGGCTGCCCTGGCATTCCCGATGGCATGGCAAAGCCTATCCCGCTCCATAGCTGGGGCCGTCGCCGCTCCCTTCTCCTCAAAATCAATCACATTTCCCAAACTTTCCAACTCCCGCAGACCTTTTCAATTTCAAGAGCCAATTTTAAGGGAAGGCCCCTACGTACCAGGCACGGAGGCCACCTCCGGAACCCCGCAGCTCCAACATCGTTATTTATTAATTCTTGGGTTTAGGCAATTTTTGTCTTGGGTAGAGGGACGAGACTGTTCCCTGCGCAGCCCAAACAGCGCCGGGGGGCACCGCGACACCAGGGGCACCTCGTCGCCTCTGCGCTTCCCCTCCCACGCCAGCGGGGGCGCCCCGGGGGCCGCACAGCGCGGGGCGCCCCGAGGGGGCGGCGGCAGCAGCCCCTCCGCACGGGCGGGCGGGCGGAGAGGCGGGGGCTGGGGTGCGCCTCTCCCTCCGGCGGGCAGGCAGCACACAAAGGAGAAACGTGACACGTTTCTTCACCCGGGCTGTCTGCTGGGGAGGTCTCGGGGAAAAACAAAACAACAAAAAAAAAAGAAAAAAAGAAAAAGAGGGAAAAGAAAAAAACCCACACCACACAAACGGGGAGGGGAGCTGCGGGTAGCCGAGCCTCCCGCACAAGCTCCCTCGCAGCCTGCCCCCGAGCCCTCTCCACCTCGCACTTCTGTTCCGTGCGGAGAGGCTACAGGTTGTTTGTTTTTAATTACAAGGGGGGCGGGAGGGTCCGCGGCGCTGCGCGGAGGGAGGTCGGCCCCGCCGACCCGCTGCCACCCCGGGTGGTTTGGGGGGAGCTTCCGCCCCGCTCCCACCGCCGGCCCGGCCCGCCGAGTAAGGCGGGCACGGCCCCAACTCCGGCCGGGGCACCGGCAGCCGCCGGGTGCGTCCCACGCCCCCCACCCGCCGTGTATATTTGGGAGCGGAGCCACCGGGTGCCCAGAGACCTGACACATGTCACTGCTGCGGCCGCGCCGGCCGCTGCCAAACTTTCCCGCGGCGGCAAGTCCGTGAGCGGCAGCGGAGCGGGGGGGTAGCGGGTGGAAGTAGCAAGTCGCACCGGGGAGCGGCGGGAGGAGGGGACGGGTGTGCGGGGCGGGGGGGGGGGGGGGGGGGGGGGG